AAATCTGTTTATCAATTTCACGCTGCGGATTGGAAGTTGATCTGTCAGCACTATCCTTATCTTCAGAGCAGATGTTTTTATTTTATTTGGTTTATAATTCCGTACTAAATGTAGTATTTCATTTCGATATACTCCGTCTTTGATACGATTTAAATCAAGTTCCTCGTCATTATAATTCGCTTCCAATAGTGAAGAAAGTGACCCAGAGGTTATTGAAAACGAAAACATTTCGATTGACAAATTAGTCGGTATTCTCAACACAGCAATTATAGGACTTGAACAGCGGAACTTTGTAACTAAACAAGAAATTATGTCTGTTTAATAGAATTAAAGAGAAAGTATTATCACATGAAACGAAGCTACTTGCATTGAAGGAAATGTTTAATAAAGTAAACAAATAAATATTAAGCTTTTTCTTTTTGTAAATTTTGATACCCTTTAGATCATAATTGTTCTTTATTTCATAAATTACGGTTTCATACTTTTAATTTTGTAATTTCTGCATGCCATCTTACCAGATTTAAACTGATGATCTATAATCCGGAAAAATCGATAATCCGGAATCGCCGAAGTCCCGACGAGTCCGGATTAACGACTTTTGACTGTATTTAGCTTTATTCTGTGTTGTGTGAAACAGGGTATACTTTTGAGTGGAAGTAAATGTGCATGGAAATAATTTAAATATTTGACACTAAGTATTTGTAACCATTTGTAATGTTAGCGGTATGAATTCGTTGGTGACGTTTATAATATAATAGATAATTTAGAGGTAAAAGTTTTTGGATATTTTATTTATTTTATACGTGGAAATGTTCATCTTTGGAAAGGGTATATACTTTTTCACGATCAGGTAATTTCATGTATGTTCTTTTTACTGGGTTTAAAGATTCACAAAATTTTCATGTATTTTCGTGAAATTTTTCTAATTTATGAGAAAAAAGCAGTGTACTTGGATATAGTGAAGAGTGTGCGCAATGGCATTTTTGTGCAATTCTGGGATGTTTTTTAAAGTAAAAAATAAGTCGACATGTACATGGTTTATGTGTATGTGCGATTCTGAAAAACGCGGTAAGGAGTTTGCGAATTCTGCAGTTTTTCCCCAATTTTACAGTTAATATTTGTCATGATTAAGCAGTCTTTGTTACCATAAAATTTGTAGCATAAGTGTAATTCGGCTAGTAAGATTGTTGGAAAAGTGTTCAGTAAATAAAAAGAAAAGAAACGTATCTTTACTTATGAAGAAAAAATGGCGGCGAAAAAAAAAATAGAGGGTTGCTGTAGCAGAGTTGGTCACCAAATTTTCGCCAAAAAATCGCCAAGTTACCATAATCCAAAGATCAACCGTTTTAACTTCTAGTTTAAATAACCATTCATCAAAATATTAGTCTCTTCCAAGCTTGCAATAGTAATATTTGTTGCAATATGAATTTTTCTTGAAATCTTTTAGTAATACCTTAAATAATATATCGTTTTAATAGTAGATGTTTGGTATGCTTAAAGTCATTACATGTAGGAATTGATTCTTGAATGATAATTTTTGTCATTTCATAGGAACTAATAAATATGATACATATACCACATTTGCTCTCTTACATTGATGTTCACATTGCAGGATTTACATATAAGCTACACAAGCTATAGCTTATTGCCCCCACCTTCTTGTGCTCCTCCCCATAAAAAATTAAAATGTAGTATAACAGACTTATATAGGTCTCATATCTCAAATAGCTTAGAGCTTTATCAAATCTAAATCTGGCCTGGGTGTTCAAATTGATTTAAGTATAACTTAATGTCATCATTTGGTTCAAATTTTTGAAGGAGTCTATATAAATCAGTGGTAACAGCAAGGGTATTGTTTTTCACTCCTGTGTTAATATTGTTCCCATTTAATTTCCTGTAATTTTAAGCTTATTTAATTTGCAAAAATCATACTGCAATCAGAAAAAGAATTTTCAATGCATAAAATCAGTTTCTGGATCAAAATTTCTTTTTTTGCAGATACTGTTTTTTTTTTTTTTTTCTTTTTTTTTTTTCTTTTTTTTTTTTTTTAGGCATTGCATACGTGTAGAAGATTATGCACATTCATTGTAAAGATTAATTTCATGATTGTTCTTACTGTTTCTAGTGCTGTTCTTACTGTTTCTAGTGCTTGGTAAAATTTTCTTTTCTTGGAAAAACAGAGAAATAGTTTTTTAAATCAGGGGCAAACTGAAAGTAGTAACAGTAAAAGCCCAATTATCTGGCATTTAATTAACCAGAAAGCTCAAGTAAACAGAACATTTTCGAATTTTAGAAACCTCCAGGTAAGTAATAGAGAGACATGTAAAGCAGTTATAAAGGATGTATGAAACATTGATGCCAATTGGTGTTTTAATGCCAGTAATAGATAAGAATGACTTCACAATAATAAAATCTTCGCCTTAGTTTCATCAGGTAAGAGGAAGCCAATGCATCATGTTATTTTCCAACCTTTTAAGCCTTGGAGTTTTTTTAGATGTTTCGGTAAAAAAAAAAAAAAAAAAAAAAAAAAAAAAGGTCTACAAAATACTATTTGTTAGAACTCCCTTGCAACATATTAACAAGTTTCTACCCGAGTTGTTCCTACTACCAAATTATTCCACAAACAACATTCAAATGCAGACAAGTGTGCAGATAAGATCTGTGGTGGTGAATAATAGACCTCTACAATGAAGATGTCATATAGCATCAGCAGGCCCAGAAGGTTAAGTTAAAGATAAGCATCTCCTCCTTACTTCCATGGAAGTTTTGGACACATTTTTCAGTAACTTTTTTATTGACCACATGTGTCCTTTAAAATATTACCTAGAAAGTTAATATTGTCAGAACTAAATTATTATAGTATGTTAAAATTTTGATGAATGGTTATGTTAAATAACCATTCATCAAAATATTAGTCTCTTCCAATGTATCATCAAAATATATTCTTCTTCTTATGTTTAGAACAAAACTTTTAAATATTTTTAAAAGTAAAGTTTCAACTTGAATTTAAGCAGAAACTTGATTGCTTTCTCAAGGAGACTAATATACTGGTGGTGAATCTGTCACACGTGAACCCATTTTGGGTGACACTCATCACACATTTCCAGAGCTGTCATCGGAGACAAAAAATTAAATAATACAAAAATATTAGTCTCATGTTAGTGGCTTCGTAATTGTCAACACGGCTTGGGTTATGTCGGGTGCATTCTTTGTAGACAGATGCACTTAATTGCTGTGTTTGTTAGGAATGGGAGGCAAAAGTATAGAGTGTATATTCTGCATGTTGAGAATTTTTAAGTGAATCATCGAAACTGAAACTTATAAGTATTTTTTCTTAGGTATTTTGAGAAGGCCATTACAACTTGTGAAATGGAGTGTGTGCATATATACCAGAATGTAGTAAACTCATTACTGAACAGTTCAGTGAAAGGTTCAGCCAAGTTAGAAACCTGGAACAGACTATGGAAATAAATAAATATCAATATGTGGTAATGTACAGTCCTTTGGAATGAGAGGATTTTCAATGAATGCAAATGATGATTTAGATATGCAACATGCAGATTTTCAAGATAGCATCTGAACTCATGTGTTTGCCAATTTAAAGGCAAAACTGGAAAATTTTTCACAAAATCATTGTAATAGTGAAGAATGCAATTACAAACTAGAAATTTTGAGTGCTTGTAATGGATTTTGTAACAGTTTAAGCTGCATAAAAGATCTAGTGATGGCCTGACTAAAAATTTCTCTCTCAACTTATTTTTGTTAGACTTTGTTCTCAGCGTTAAATAATATTAACAAACAAAAGAAACTGGCTAACAGATGAAGTTAGTGAGGCTTTCTTGGCTTTGAGGTGTTCAAAATATGAACCTTCAATTGAAAAATTAGCAGACACAATAAATCATAAGTGTTTTACATTTTTTTTTTAAATAAATAAATATATCTATCTGTCTGTTTTGTTTTTTTTTCACAGTGCTCACATGTTTTTGTATTCTTGTACCATTTGATTATCATTGTTAGTGTTATTATTTTTCCTTAAATGCAAATTAAAAAATTAATATCAAACATGAAAATAAAAAAATATCAGAAATATAACCTTTCTTATCTAGGGCTGAAAATATCAAAAAATTATGAATATTTTTATATGTGATATGGCATCAGAGATCAGCTAGAGTTTTTTTTCAAATTTTGACTTTTTAATCTCAAAAGGTTTACCATGATTGGACTAAAACATGTAACTCTAGCTGTATTTTGTTCATTTTTAAATCCCACCTTTTATCTAACATACACTGCATGATACAGATTATTTGGGTATCCTCAACTTGTTGATGACCTGATTAAATTTGTTCCTTTAAACTTCTACTGGAATGATTGGTGCATATTTGGCGGCATGTCTGCCATCTTAAATTGTTTGATGGGATTTCATAATCAGATAAAATAGGTTAACTTTAATATTTTTAATGCCTACAAAATACATCAAATTGTATGTCTGAATTTTTTTTTAATTTGCATAATTTTAATATTTATTATATATTGAACTATTCGAAATTTTCACATTTCTAGCATTGTCCAAGCTTTCTGGATTGTGAAAATTTTACTATACGTTTACTGATGAAATATAAGCTTTACAAATTGAATGGAATATTGCTGTAAAAAATTGAAGTTGAGAAACTAAAACATTAAAAAAAAATAAATAAATAAAAATGAGTGCATACTGAAATGAGGTTTGCCATATCATTAAGGTTATCAATATAGGCAATTTATCATTATTGACCGAAAGATTGACAATCTTAGACAGGATGCTAGTCGACAGGATACTAGTATTGACAGGATACTAGTCAGCTTTTGTATAAAATAATGAAGTCTTTACTGAGATGAATGGTAAAGACATCAGTTTCACAATTTAGAATTTTTTTAATTAATATTTTGAAAAAATTTAAAAATATTTTCCATTATAATTTTTTCTTAAGTTAGAATGAAAACTTTCACTATATGTCATATTTTCTTTCTAGAAATGCCTCGGTTACGAGAAAGAAAACCAAAAATAAAGGTAGAAGATGTAGATGATGATTTGAGTAATGATGATGATGAGGCCAGTGGTGATAATGATGATACTGATTATGAGCCTGTTCCCCAGAAACAGCTCAAACGGAAAAGAAATGTTGAAGATGAACTAGTAGATGAAGAAGTCGCTGCCACTGAAGGTGATACTAACAGTGTCCCACTTTCTAAAAGCAGAAGGGCTGGTAATAAATCTGCTCCAAAACCTAGGACAAAAAAGATAAAATCCGAGCAGCTGTATGTTAATGATGAAGTGAGTTCATTTTTTTATAAGTTATTAATTTACTTCTATTTTTTTAATGCTAAAAAATAAAATTGATAATATTTTCAAATTTGGCAATCTTTGATGCTTTGAATGATACTTCTTGATAAATTCTTTTTGTCATTTTTATTCAGCTATTGTAACTAAAAGAAATATCTGTGAATTATTATTAGCGAACTATATACATAGATAAAAAGTTCGTCCTTCCCTCCCTTTTTTTTAAACATGTGAATTCTTTTGTTGTGCACTTCTAAATTTATCAGCTCATTAACATTTGGGTGGCTAAGATTAGTTTGTTTGCAAAAATTTTGTTTTGTTGGTGTTGTCAAACTTTTAATTCAACAAGAGAAATTCGTACCTGGTTCTTTTGGTCACCCGAGTTTCTCAAGAGAGTAAGTGATTAAACCTGATTTAAACATTAATCCTTTACTAAACACAATAGAAAGACATACATGATTGTATGACGGTACACTTTACTTACTCGCTACATCAGAACACTTATTCTAATCAGTTATAGCATATTAACACCATCTATAGTCTAAAGATTGGGAAAGAATTTTAAATTCGCAACATTTACCGGAGTCAAAAATTCTTCAGAAGATGAAAAGTTTTTTCAGTGTTGGTTGAGAGTTCCAGAGAACATAATACTTACATACATCTCCTAAAGAAAGCTCCATTTGGAAGGCTGACAGTGCATGAATGGCTATAGCCATCATATCCAGGATGCAGTTAGGTCGCAGTGCCCGTTTGCTACAAAAGTCCAGGCACGATGTCATCACTTATCAAAAACCACAGTATTCTCTCGAAGTTCTGTAGGCCAATTCATTGGTTTGTGATTGATGACCTGACCTAAGGTCAAGAAGATGATTTCCATCTTTTCCAAATTCAGTTAAGTAGATCTTTTCATTTTCAAAAGGTGGTATTTAGTGGAAGGAAAAATGTTCTTAAGGAAAGTATTCCAGTCTTTTTAATTTAATGCTGTTCAGCCAGCCAAAGTTCTGTAGTTAACAGCCATTTTTCTTACTCTGTGAATTTTTTATATTGTAAATAAATCTCTGAATCCAAGCTGTAATTTGTCATACCTTGCTAAATTTGCTGAATTTCCATATGTCAAAAAGAGTTTCTAATTCAGTTCTTAAAAAAAAAAAAAAAAAAAAAAAAATCTATATTAAACTCATTTAAACAAATGAGAAATTTCATTATTTGGTTATGGCCAATGATCTGTACCTTTCCTTATCTAAGATGGTCCATCCCACCATAGTTCCTTGTCTTTCAGAGTGATTAAATTTCATCTTCTAGACAGCAAATCCACGAAGTGTTTTTTTTCCTGAACAGTGATTCTACCAATCTAAATTAGAAAGAGTTCTTATTTCGGGTAGAGACTTTAAGGTACCCCTTGTATTATGGCGAAGTTGTTGTTTGATTTATCGTCAAGTTGTTTCATTTATGGTAGCCTGAGTAGTTGAATGTTATGGAAACCCTATTGTGATGTAATCGGGTGCATGATTCTGGGAAATTTTGAATCATGAGATGTTTTGTAAGCATTTTTGTGGTGTGTGTTGGTTTGATTCTTTAGACGGTATAATGTAGTAAGATTAAATTGAAGTTTCTGTACGATTTGGAGCGAAAGGGGAAAAGAGCTTTAATTGACTGGTGCGTAAATGAAGGTTTACTTAGTAGCCATAAGTGTCCTTGTATGTAGGAAGGTATGCGTCTAGTCGAATGTAAAAAACCGTTTAGATGGATTTGAATGGGTTTTTATTTGTAGGAAGAAAGGTTCAGCTGGTCACTATGTGAAGCACTTCGATCAGGAAAGAGGTACCTGGTTTGAAAAAAGTCATTTGAGTATGATTGATATTTTGATTTTTATGTGGCTCTGGGTGTACGAAGCGAACTAGAAAATCATGGTAAGTGAATATTTGCTTTTGGTAGTGCTTAAATGTATAATATGTTTTTCCTTTTTTATGTTATTTTATTGTTTGGTTTAAAATGTATTTTATTGAGATTATGTATTTTTTGTTTGCCTATATTGTAGAATTTGGTGCTCCTTTGACTTTTTAAGTGAAAATATATCAATGTGTGCATGGACAAAGTAAAGGGAGTGCACAATGCAAGTTTGTGCAATTCTGGGATTTTTTTTTAAGTGAAAATAGGTCGACGTATACATGGATAAAGTTAAAAGAGTGCACAATGCCATTTTTGTGCAATTTGGGGATTTTTTTTTTAATGTGAAAATAGGTTGATGTGTACATGGATAAAGTCAAAGGAGTGCGCATTGCCAATTTTGTGCAATTCAGGTTTTACTGCTAAAAATCGCCAAGTTTCGCCAAGGGGTACCCTAAACTATACTTTTACCCTTATTTCTTCAACTGTGTATTTACAAACACTTTAAATCTTAGAGAATTGCCTTTGATCCACTGAAGAATAATCATGGAGTCGGACCAGAAATAAAATTTAGTATTATTCGGAAGTTCCAATTTGTTTTTGAATGCACTGAAATAATCTCTTACAAAAGCTGCAAGAAGTTCCAATCTAGTTAATGTTATTTCAAGTACTGGTGCAACTCCTGTTTTTCAGACTACTGAAGCTGAACAAGATTTCCAAAATTGTCGAAATATAAAAAAATTACAGCTCCATAGGCATTCTTTATATTCGTGTGCATTCTTCATATTCAACAGTTTTTTGTTGTCAATGCTTATACAATCTTCCTTAGAATTTCAGTTATATCCAAGTATTTTACAAGATTAAACTGATCTTGAAGGAGCTGTATATTTGTTTGCCACTTATGTTGAATCTGTCTTCTTCTAAAAGAAACTTCATCTGCGAGTATACTTCAAAGGGAGATTCATCTCTTGCAGGCTATGAAAAAGATCATTGACATTTAATTTTGTTACTTAGGATTTGGGATGCAGTTGGGTAATCCTTTTATTTATGTGGTGTTTCAATGTTGCATTTAGTAACAGTTGACTTGACATTAGTCCAAAACTAACCATCGTCATTCGTAGGATTTCTGGTTCCATGTTCATATGTTTTTAATCTGCAGAAATCTGACATCTCTCTTCCAGAGCTAATGCTGTTTGCAAGAACACACTTTCAGTGTCAGCTGTCAAGGTAACACTGTTCAATCTGAATTGCAGAAGTAAATCTAACAAATCTGGCATTAAATTCATACTGGCTTTCAGGCAGTTATTAGGAGAAACGGAGTTCATTGAGCTAGAATATGAATTAAAAATAATTCTAATTTTTGTAGCTAATTTATCATCACAAATTACTGATTAATGGGACATATAATAAACTTTTGTTTTATTTTCAGGCATACTGAAATCAACTTTTACAGCTGTTCCTTTGGGAAGTTGCATAGAAATAATTTCCTTATGTTAAGAAAGGAAAGATTTCTCTTAAATTTTTTAACTAATTTTTTTATATTAATCAGGGTTCGTACGGTCCTTAAAAGTCCTTAGATTTTTTTAAATCGATTTTTGGTCTTTAAAAGTCCTTAATTTTAGCTCAAATCAGCAGAAGGTCCTTAATTTTAATCATCTGAAATTTCTGTCTGTTTTTATGACTGCCATTTTGAGTGTGAATAGCATTTTGGAGAAATATTTTTGGCGATTCACTGACATATATATGGCTATCTTTTGAATGGGTTTATGAGTTATAATTTGTTTCTATTTCTAATATAAATGATGGGATACTCAAGTTTCTAAGCAAGAAGTGAAACATGAGCATTTCTAAGTTCATTTTTTCTAATGAAGAGCTCTTAAACAACTTTTCGCTTTTGGGGATGTGGATTTTAACTTTGGTGACTTTTCAACATTTTGGCAATTTTAAGATCAGTTTCTATAGAAACTTTAATTCCGAGATCTGATAATTTTTCGACGATTTTTTTAAAACATTGTAACACTGATAAATTTCATTAAAATAATGGTAATATATTGAAATTATATTTAAAAAATAACATTAAAATAAAACATTTTTAGTTTTTGCTGTCATATTATAATTTGGCAACTTTTTGTACAATATTTTGAATCTGAAAAATAAACAAGGTATAATGCTATAAAGTACAATTAACGAAACAGCTCTTAGCAAAAGCAAAATTAGCTATGTAATTAATTTAAAATGTTTTCTTTTTAATTTTTTCATAGTAAGAGTTTTTCCCATGTAACTATTTTCAACAAACACACATTTCACAATACAAACAGTTTACATTTTTTATATACAATACCACTTAACTTAATTTTCATTCAAGCAAACTTACATCTCTTGATTGGCTCAGCTGCTTAACTCCCTAAATAATTGATAATTACTACCTTTAGGATTTTTAATTTTTAATTTAATTTTTTTAGTATTAATGTTTACAAAATTTTTTTAATATTAATGTTTACAAAAAATTTTTAATATAACAAAGATAGCAGCTTGACATGCCACTTTACCTACATAGTGCCATCTATATAATTTGAAAAACACACTTACTTCTCTTTAACAACACTTTTGCAGACCCCAACACTCATATAGTAGGTAAGTTAGAATTAAAACTTACTATTTACTTGCTTTAAGTATTTTTAAAAATTTTTTTATGTAGTATTTAAGTATTTTCTAAATTGAAATTATATTTTTAAATATATATTTGTTTTTTTTTTTAAAAAATTGTGAATTAGTTATTTTTGTTTTTCTATTGGTTTATATAAATTATGTCTAGTTCTTTTTTAGTTTCTTTTTATTGATATTCGTGTCGGGGGGAGGTTTCTGTAGGCAAGGGTTTCTAAAATACATTGGTTTCTAGATTATTTTTTATAAAAAAATTAATTTTTTTTAAAAATTTAATTTTTTTAAAAAAAAGATTAATTTAATACTTTACTTGCTTGTTTCTCAAAAGACTTCATTAGTATTTTCCTTTTAGAACTTTATTCTTAAATTTAATTCTTAAATGTTAATTTCTAAGGGTACCACTTTATTGGTATTTCTTTTTACTTTTGGTTTTGACTTTTACC